GGGAACTGAACACGCCAAGCGTCGTTCAGACGAGCGAAGCAACACTGTGTGGCGTGCGGTCCCCCACACGGCTGGCCAGTGCGGTCACCAGTGCGAATGACGTACGTGAAGCTAAGGCCACCCCCCCCCCCCCCCGTGCTGAGAGTACCACTCACGGACCTCCTGGGGCGACGGAGTGTGCTGCTGGCCCTGGCCACCGCCAGCGCCTCCACGACCACCACCGCCGCTACCACCTCCTCGACCACCCCAACCCCGGCCGCTGCCTCGTCCACCGCCACCCCCACCACCTCCTCCGCCCCGGCCACCTCCCCCGCCGCTGCCGCCACCTCCCCCACCGCTGCCACCTCCCCCACCCGCGCCACCCCCCCCGCCACCACCACCTCCCCCACCACCGCCACCCCCGCTGTCACCACCACCGCCCTTGCCCCCCTTGCCCTTGCCGCTACGGCGCCCACTCGAAGCAGACGCAGTCCCGACCTTCTCAGCACCAAGGAGGTCGACAGTAGCAGCAGTGGCGACAGAGGGAAGAAGGGGGGAGGGAGAACACCCCTCAAAGAACGGGGTACGGGGGTCACCGCGAGAGGCACCTACAGCGACTATGCTAGCCTCAGCTGCAAGTAGTTCCTTCTCGAGGAGGGCAATGGTGAGCTCGGTGGGGCAGCGAGCTAGGAAGTGGTCCCTGACTGAGCGCAGAGTGTCAGGGAGGCGCGTGACTAGGTGGTAGAGAGTGAGCCAGAGCGGGGGTGGGTTCTTGGCAAGGAACTCATCAGGCATAGCGGCGCGGAAGCGAGCCTCACTAGTGCGGAGGTGGGTAATGAGATCAGCGACAGTGTGGAAGGAAGCTAGGTCGGGGAACAGGTAGGGAAGAGAGAGACGGCCTAGAGCGGCAGAGGCCGGCGAGGAGTAGCGGGCAACGACATCAGTGTACAGTGCCTGTGCAGTCTTGTGCTGCCCAAAGTGCTCGCGCTCATCTATCGGCAGAGAGTTGCGAATAGCGAAGCGAGTATGGGCGTCACGAGTCTGCCACTGTGAGCGGGCAGTGCTGTCAGCAGTAGCAGCAGGAGCAGTAGCGTGGCCTAAGGCATGATCATACAGCGAGATGTCTTCCTTGGCAGTGAGCTGTAGGAAGAGGTGTAGGTCATCAAGCCAGGTGTCGAACTTCACTGGGCGGCCCTTAGTATCGAAGGCTAGGACAGGAGGGCTAGCCATGATAGCAGCAGTAGGAAAAACAGTAGGATAGGTAGGGCAGCGCGGCTCGGTACAGGTAGGGCTGCGCGGCTCGGTATAGGTAGGGCGGCGCGGCTCGGGTCGGGCGGCGCGGCTCGGGTCGGGCGGCTCGGGTCGGGCGGCGCGATTCGGGCGGCGCGGCTCGGGTCGGGCGGCTCGGTTCGGGCGGCTCGGGTCGGTTAGGGCTGGCGGCTCGGGTCGGGCGGCTCGGTTCCGTTAGGGCTGGGCGGCTCGGGTCGGCTCGGTTCAGGCTGCTCGGTCTGGGTGGGGTCGTTCGGGGCCGCTAAGGGCGAGCGCGGGGCCGACGTGGGTGCTAAGGGCGAGCGCGGGGCCTATCGGGGCCGTGAGGGACGAGCGCGGGGCCGATCGGACCCGTAAGGGACGAGCGCGGGGCCGACGTGGGCCTCTAAGGGCGAGCGCGGGGCCTATCGGGGCCGTGAGGGACGAGCGCGGGGCCGATCGGGGCCGGTAAGGACGAGCGCGGGGCCGACGCGAGCCTCTAGGGGTAAGCGCGGGGCCGATTCGGGGCCTCTAAAAGCGAGCGAGGGGCCGACCGAGGCCGCTAGGTGCGAGAGCGCGGGGCCGACGGGGCCTCTAGGGGCGTGAAAGCCGAGGCGCCCTAGGGCGCAGGTAGGTAGGTAGGTAGGTAGTGGTGGGCCCTAAAAAAAAATCGGTCCTAGGAAGGACCTGCTCTATACCATGTTGAACAAAAATGGAATGAACTAACAGTGAAATGAGTACAAGTATGAAAACCTAGGAATGTGTACCCCCTATAGGCTAACCCACTGTAGCCTAAACAGCTACAACAACATATATAATGTTTGACACATCGCTGACCCACATCGCCCCTTCGAAGTTGTTACAGACGCAAGCGACATCGCCATTGGAGCCGTACTGTTACAAGACTTCGGCAACGGCCTCCAGCCCATCGCCTACGAATCACGAAAATTGCATCCGCCTGAACGAAATTACCCGATACACGACCGCGAAATGCTTGCGATCGTGCATGCATTCAAGGTGTGGCGCTGCTACTTGACCGGTGCAGACGTAGCAGTACGGACAGACCATCGATCCCTACAGTACCTCTGTGCACAGCCCCACCTCAACCCACGACAGATTCGGTGGCTCGATTTCCTCGAGTCAAATTTCCATTATACGGTCACCTATAAAAAAGGAGCCTCGAATATCGCCGACGCACTGACCCGCCCCACTGCCCAGATCCATGCGATACTACTCGCCCAGACCAGCCCGCTACTAACAGGACTATTTACCGACGGATATCAAACAGATCCATTCTTCACAGGAGGAAACTCGCAGCAATTCGCAGCAGCCAAGGGAGTCTATTACGTAAAAGCTGGGACCGAACGCATCTGGGTACCAGGGTACACACTACTACGGGAATTACTGTTACAGGAGGCACACGACGGAGTTACCTCGGGACATTTCGAAGTAGAGAAAATACGGCAGCAGCTGCAGCGGTATTATTACTGGCCCGAAATGTTGACCGACGTGCAACGACACGTGGCATCGTGTCCCACTTGCCAAATCATGAAGTCAACCCGGAAGCGGCCGGCGGGATAGTTGCAACCAATCCCACCTCCAGAGCGTCCTTGGCAGCAAGTGACGATGGACTTCGTCACGGGGTTACCGGCCGGGGCGAGTGGGAATGACGCAATCCTGGTCGTCGTCGATCGACTGACGAAAATGGCACACTTCGCAGCCTGCAAGAAATCAATCACAGCCGAAGAAACAGCCCGCCTCTTCATCTCTACCGTCGTTCGACTGCACGGGATACCAGCATCAATCATCAGCGACAGAGACACGAAGTTTACTAGCAACTTCTGGCGGAACCTGTGGCAGCAGTTCGGCACGCGCCTACAGTTCAGTTCATCGTATCACCTCGAAACCGACGGACAGACCGAACGGACAAACCAGACCATGGAACAGCTCATTAGGGCCACGTGTGATGATCCAAACACGTGGGAACAGCAATTGCCACTCATCGAATTCGCATACAACAACGCCCCATGTGCCACGACCCAACAGTCACCATTTTACCTGAATTACGGACAAGACCCAACAGTACCCATGACCCCGAATCCCGACAACCCCGTTCCACGCGCACAACAGTTCGCTGAGATTTTGCAAGCAGCACGAACCAACGCAGCAGAAGCAATCAAAAAGTCAAACATCATCGCTAAACGCAACGCTGACCGCCACCGCAGACCTGTCACTTACCAGCCCGACGACCTCATTTTACTCGACACTCAAAACCTCCGCCTGCCCATCACCCCCAAACTCCGCCCTCGATACTGCGGGCCATTTCGAATTAGCCATATGATAACACCTGTCACCGCGCACCTCCTCCTCCCTGCTGACTGGTACGTCAGCCCCTCGTTCCACGTCAGCCTGCTTCGCCCTTACGTACCATCCACAAGCCAACTCCCACGAAATCGCCCAGCCAGCATGGCTCGTCCGCCAACCGAACCAATCATCACCCCCGACAAAATCCTGAGCCACAGAGTTCGCGACCCTCGAGGAGCCCGAAAGATCGAGTTCCTGCTCTGCTGGAAAGACCGTACACCCACCGAGGACAACTGGGTTCCCCTGGACAGAATTGAAAACCACCCTGTTCTCACCGAATATCTACGCAGCCGAAACTTCAGAGACGTCCACGCTCTTTCGCAAAAAGGACCTCCTTAGGAGGGGGGCTAGTGTAAGGAAAATCCCTTTTCCTTACTTCGCATCCCTGCTCAACGCGTACATCACTGTAGCACGCGTACATCGCACCCCGACCTCACGGCTCGGCTGGTAACCCGCGCTCCGGGCCTCCGCTTCGACACTTTCCCAACCTCAGTCCCAGGCTCGTCGCACGACAACCACAGTCCATTACCGTTACCACTGTAGTTTCGCTATATATTCTTCGCTCGTGCCTTAGCTCATTGTATTCTTGCTTAGATAGTGCAATTATCGTTTGTTCAATCAATTGCACTCGTAACACAGGGAAACAGGGTTCAATGCATCCAAAGCTGTTCAGGTCAGATGGAAGCAAAAACGTTCAATGCAGCCAAAAGCGTTGCAGTTTGGCTGATTACGGTCCAGAGCGGTGCTCCCAACGCATTATCGAAGGTGCAGCATTTTCCCATTTCCAGGGTTTGGCAAGTTGGTCGTCTCTGTGGCGTTGTTACCTCGTTCTATCGCGTGTCACCGTACAGAAACACTGTTCACCTTTTGCCGCCTAGGATGTAACCAGAAGAACCGTTGTGCCACGACCCTGCAATCCCATTGGCGTTCACCACTGACAGATACACAGATTTTACTTCTTGTGCGAATGTTCCACTCACCGAAAACACACCCGACCCTCGTATACTTCCTTTTGCACCTTTGTCTACCGTACAAACATTTTCTGCAACGCATTCTATCGAACACTCTAGCCAAGCTGAAGATATTTTTGCCGCTGCTGCCAGTCTCAGGTTCTTGGATTCGGCGCATGGGGACTTCAACGGACCACAAACAGTTCACCACGTCAATAGCTGTTGAATTATTAGGTTTTCTTAGCTACGCCTGCCTTGCTCCTGGATTTTCAGACTTCGTATGCGGCTTTAGTGTCGACTCGGCCCAGTTTTAAACTTGCTACTCGTGCGCGTAAATCAAGATGTCGGCTGTTCACATCGGTATACGTAGCTTAGTTCATAGGGACCGTGGCGTCAGCACGTAATTTGCGTATTAGCAGCCAGAAACTCGACAAAGAGCTATATATCGGAGCTGCTTCAATGAGAGCCATCACGAAAAACGGCAGGAGGCTCGGCCCTGAGCCGTATGCGGCGCGCAGTCAGCTTTCTCCCGTGCTTGCATCCCTCTTCCCCTCCCGCTCATCCTCAATATCTACGTATGGGGATGCTTCTCCTTCTCTGCTAGCCAAGCAGCGTTGTAAGCGAGGCTCCGCGCGCAGTCAGCCGCGCAGCAGCTGGGGGGACGCAGCCGCGCGCAGTCACACGCGCAGTCACGCGTGCAGTCACGCGCGGAGTCAGGCGGTCAATCAGGCGCTATGTTGCCTCGTCGCGTTCCTAGCAGTCGCGTGTCAGCATGTCGCCCCGGTTGCTGGCGTCATCATCATGATCGCTCCGGACAACGCCACGTACTCGTTTGAAGACGCTGACGCCGCGTTCGGTACACCCGCCGCTTCTCCCGCTCCCCCCTCCCCTCTGCTTCCCCCCCCCCCCCCCCCCACACCTCCCCATCCTCCCTCCACCCCCTTTTCCCCCCTTCATAAGAACGCATGGGATTCTGAATATTTCCTCTTTTCGCCTCTTATAAGCACACACACGCGTTGGGAAGTTTTTATAAGTAGACTCTTGAGCCGACTCAGAAGTTGCTGGCGTCATCATCATCATTGCTCCGAACAACGCCACGTACTCGTTTGAAGGCGCTTTTCAGTCTCTAATAGAACTTTATGGCAGTGTTGTCAATCTGTCTCTAGTACAGTAACGATCGATTTGTTGTGTTTTTCTTCTTTCAATCTTGACTTGCCTGTCACCTACGTGGCTCACTTTCCGCTTCCCCTTTCCCCCCACCCGCTTTTCCCACCCCTTAACTCGAGGCTGCCTCATCCCCTCTGCTCTCGAGTGTTGACTCACTTTCCGCTCCCCTTTCCCCCCCCGCCTTCCTTCCCCTTTTCTTTCCCCTTCCCCTTCTTATTCCGCTTTCCTACCGCTGCTCTTTCCCTTTCCGCCCGGTCTTCCTCCTCGCTTTCCTCTTCCCCCAGGCGGCCTCATCCCCTCGACGGGCATGCGCGGAGTGCTCCGCCGCGCCGTCCCCTACGACGCATGCGAGCCGCTCACGAATCCCGCGGGGGGGGAATCCGCGGAGGGGGAATCAGCGGGGGAATCGGCGGAGGGATTTACGGAGGCGGAGTTTGTGCTTATAGAGAGGGGCAACTGCCTGTTCGACGTGAAGGCGCTGAACGCGCAGCGCGCGGGATACGCGGCCGCGGTGGTGTACGATAACGAGCCCGGGAAGAGGCTTATAACGAGTACGTGGTGTGGCGTGGCGTGGGGTGGAGTGGGGTGGGGTGGGATGGGGTGGGGTGGGGTGGAGTTGAAAAGGGTAGGGCGGAGGGGGAATGGCGGAGGGGAAAATGGGAGGGGGAGTCGAAGGGGGGGAGGGAGGAGGGCAATGGCACATGTGGGGTATTGCCATTCCAGCAATCCTCCTCACTCAATCCTCCCCAGCAACTAGCGTGATTCACTCTTCATCCCTCGCTCCCACCTCCTCTCCCACGTGATATAAGTAGTGTTTTGAGATGTCTCAAAGCAATTCTCCTCACGCAATTCTCCTCACGCAATCCTCCTCACGCAATCCTCCTCACGCAATCCTCCACAGCAACTTGCGCCATTCACTCTCCATCTCTCACTCCCACCTCCTCTCCCACCTCCTCTCCCACCTCCTCTCCCACGTGATAACCGCGTGATAAAAGTAGTGTTTTGAGACGTCTCAACGCAATCCCCCTCACTCAACCCTCCCCAGCAACTAGCGCCATAAATTTTTCATCTCTCACTCCCACCTCCTCTCCTACCCACCCTCATCACAACCCTCCTCTCTCTCTTCCCACCCGTCTCCCAGTGTCAGGGCGGCACATGTGAGGGCATCACAATTCCAGCAGTTTTCGTCACTCAATCCTCTGGCCACGCCCTAACCAACATCATCAACCGCTTCCCCCTACCCTCCTTCCACCACCCCCTCTCTCCGCCCGTCCTCTTCCCCCCTCTCCCCTTCCCAGTGTCAGGGCGGCACATGTGGGGCATCGCCATTCCAGCAGTCTTCGTCACTCAATCCTCCGGCCACGCCCTTATCAACATCATCAACGGGTTTTCCCAACCATCCGACTCCTCCCCCTCCTCCGCCTCCGCCTCCTCCTCTCCCTTCTCCCCCTTCCCCTCCCCCTTCTCCCCATTCTCTCTCCCCTTCTCCTCCCCGGAATCTCCCCCTCCCATCTGCGTTCTCCTCCCTACCTTCGACAATGCGGCCTGGTCTGTAATTACCGCATCCCTAGTCTCCCTTCTCTCCCTCTCTATAGTCCTCGCCTCGTTTCTCTTTATAAGACGGCACAGGCTGCGGCAGGCTGTAGCAGCCGCCGCCACAGCCATGGGCGCGGGCGGCGCCGGTCGGCTGCTAGCGGCGCGTCAGGAGCCGCCCGGGCTATCAGAGGAGGAGGTCAAGGCGCTTCCAGAATTGGTTTTCCCGCCAAAAGGGAAGCATTCGGGTAGTGTGTCAGTATTTGGTGGTGGCTGTAGCAGGGTCGGCTGTAGCAGCTGTGGGGGAAAAGGGTTGAAGGGGACAGGGGTAGGTGGAAAGGAGGCAGGCGGGGCTGCAGCAGCATCTGTAGCAGCAGCTGTAGCATCACCAGAGGAAGGCGAATTAGGGAGGGAAAGAACAGCAGGACGAGCTACGGCTGTAGCAGCTGTAGCAGCAGCTGTAGCACCGGAGCAGGCGGAGGAAAGCAGGCCACTGCTACCCAGAGGGTGTGTGGCTGTGTCAGTTGCAGATGGAAGCGAGGATGGTGATTGTAGCAGTGGTGATTGTATCGGTAGTGATACTAGTAGTGACGATGCTGCTGTTGCAATGGGAGCAGAGGGAGGAGAAGGAGGAAAGGGACGAGAGGGAGGAGAGGGAGGAGAGGGAGGAGAGGGAGGAGAGGGGACAGAGGGAGCAGTGGAAGCAGGGGGAGGAGAGGGAGGGGGCAGAGAGATGGAGACGTGTGCAATCTGCCTGGAGGACTATGAGTGGGGGGATAGGCTGCGCCTTCTGCCCTGCTCGCATGGTGAGTGAGCGGGGTGATATGATAGCACGGTGAGTCAAGAGGGGGATAGGTAGCAGGGAGGGCAGCAGGGGGGCCAAGGGGCAGGGAGATGGAGATGTGTGCGATTTGCCTGGAGGACTATGAGTGGGGGGGTAGGCTGTGCCTTCTGCCCTGCTCGCATGATGAGTTGACCAGTGGTTGACCTGTGGTTGACCAGTGTTGACCAATGGTTGACCAGTGCCCGTTTTGCCTCTCCATTGACTCTCTCTTTCTTCGCTGTTCTTCCCAGTACCTCTCTCGCTCCTTCCGCCTGCAGAGTCTCCCCAATGGTTGACTGCGTTGAGTTGACCACGGGTTGACCACCCACTGCCCATGCCGCCTCGTTATCCTCACAGCTCTCTGTTCGCTGTGCACTGCTCCAATTGTAATGAGGTTATTTTTGAGGCGTCTCTATGTGGCTTCTCAAATAACCTCATTACACGTGGCTTCTGTCTGTTCGCTGTTCAATTTCTCTGTCTGCACGGCTCCTATTTCTCTGTCTGCACGGCTCCAATTTCTGTCTGCACGTTACCTGCAGAGCTCCGTGTTGACTGCGTTGACCAGTGGTTGACCACCCGCCACCCGTTCTGCCTCTCTACTCACTTCATTCTGGCTTTGCTCTGCTTTTCTCCAATACCTCTTTCTCCTTTCTTGCCTGCAGAGTTTCACGTTGACTGCGTTGACCAGTGGTTGACCACCCGCCGCCCTTTCTGCCCCGTCTGCAAGCGAGACGCACACCCCCCCATGCACCCCTCCCCCTCCTCCCCTCCTCCTCTCACCTCCGCTTCCTCCTCCACCACCACCACTACCGCTGCTGCTCTAGCCTCCTCTTCCTCTGTCGCTGCTTCGACTGCTCTCTTTGTCTCCTCCCTGCTCTACCCCCTCATCCGCTCCTTCTCTCCCCTCCCACCCCTGCTCACCGCATCCAACTCCTCCAATCCATTTTCCACCGCACCCAACACCTCAAATTCCTCATCTGGAAGCAGCAGGAGAACCAGACCCTTCCGACCCTCCTCCTCTTCTTCCACCTCCTCCTCTTCCTCCTCCTCCTCCCTCTCCTCTCCATCTCCCCACTCTCCCACAAACCCGGTTACTGCACTCCACCCTCCCGGACTCTCCCTCTCCTCCTTCCCTCCCTCGGTCACCCCATCCACCTCCATCCCCACTCTCCCTCCCTCCCACTTCCCCACTCCAAGGTTCATCGCAGCTTCAACCGCCTCCTCCTCCTCACTCTCTCCCCCTGACCCTTCCCGGGAACCCTTCTTGCTGCATCACCCTTCGAGAGACTCAGACGATGAAGAGACGGGGGAGATTAGACCTGTTCCTATGCCTGGGTTCACCCCACCGTCACCCACACCTCCTCATTTGGAGGTCTCGAATTGAGTCGATTTTCTAGTCAACTAAAGAAAACGACCCTTCTTGCTGCATCACCCTTCGAGGGATTCAGATGATGAAGAGACGGGGGAGATCAGACCGGTTCCCATACCAGGGTTCATCCCACCGTCACCTACATCCCCTCAATTGCAGGTCTCAAACTTAGTGGACCCTAAAATTGACCCTTCCTGCCGCATCACCTTACTAGGGTAGGGACTCAAATGATGAGCCCACTCATTTGCAGGGTTGCAGAGTGAATGGTACACTTATTTTTTGTGTTTCCGTCTTTTGTTTCATAGTTTACTGTTTAATCTAATGATGAAATGCTACCATCCGTTTCTTAAAAACCTTGGGGCAGGGACACAGATGGTGCATGGATGTGGGCATGGTACCCACATGGTGTTACGGTATCAGTTCTGGCGATCACCCTGGCAAAGTTAGTCACAGCCTTCAATTTCAGGGCTCTGGCTCGTCAAGATAATATGCAGAATGATATACATAATATTTCGCTCCATACTACTGTACAGAGCTCTACAACTGAAATTATGTACCATCTACCGTAAATAAAAACGTATTGTACTGGCTAGTGGGATCTAGCACGCTACTGTGCTGCTTTCAGGCCCTCAGATTGGTTTGAGGGTATGCTGATGGATCAGCGTGCCCCGGCCAACGAGGTGTCCAAATCAGCGTTCACGGCTTTTTTTATACTGATTTTGCCAGTGTAAAAATCATAAGTAAACTGAACCAACAGTGTAATAACAAAAAACTATAGCTGAAACCCCAGTACAAGGTGTGTGGTGTTGTTGCTGTGATAGGTTCCAGCGAGGCTAAACACTTCGGCGCGCACCTGATATCTGTGCAGTGCATGCGAAAAAATGCCTAGTGTGTGGGTGGGGTCTCAGGAATCACGGGAAGGTACAGATTGTACATGCGTACCCTATCACCCCCCCCACCACCCCCCCACACGCGATCAACTCCGTTTCAGTGTGACTCACGTCACTATACTGATTCGTCAGTGTTTCTTGTAAAGAAACATGCAAAATGGTCAGTGTGACAAGGTAGGATATACTGAAATTTCAGTGCAAAATTGAAGCATATGCTGAATTTTCAGGGAAAACGAAAATCACAGCTACAAAATCAGCGTAATCAGCGTGTTTTACGCTGATATCTGAGGGCCTGGCTGCTTTACTGGGAGGGAGGTCTGTCACACAATTTTCTGACCGCTGAATTCACAGAAGCTGCTGCAATCAGTGAAGGGACTCGGTGTGACAGGAGGAGGAGGAAGCTGATGGGACAGTGGAGGTTAGGATTGGGGGATGAGAAAGGAAGAGAGGGGAGGGCGGAGGGTGGAGGGAGGAGGGAGAGAGGAGGTACGAGGGATGGGTGAGGAGGAAGGAGGGAGGAGGGGATGAAGGAACAAGGGGGAGGAGGATGGAGGGAGGAGGGAGTTGCACATTTGCCCAAACCTGAGAGGCCGAGGGAAGATGGGCAATTGGGCAACTCTCCCTGTGATGCCGATTGTGGTGCCGGTTGAGATGTCCGAGTGATGTACAGAACCGTGATAACCGAAGCAATCATTCTCCGAAGTTGCATGATAACCGTGTCGCAAGGAATCCTTGAGAGTGGGCTGTTGTCCCGAGCTCCGCCGCCCGTTTACGCCGCGATTGGGCGGCTCTGCCTGGCTCCTGCCGCCCCGTCAACCGATTGTGAAAGGCAGACGGCTGTCGGCGCCACACGGGACGATCCCCGCCGCCCGGCGCGCATCTTGAAAGCCCGGCATGTGGGGACCACGTGCTTCAACGCTGCTGCCGCGTGCTTGGGGCTGCTGAAGTAGTTTCTACGAGGAGAGTGTTTTTTTGGGCTGACCGGGTGTTCTGGAGCTTCGAGGACAGAGATCTCTAGCTTCTTGGACGCAGGCTTGGAAAGGTTAGGCTCGGGAAAGTCAGGTTGGGGGAACTTGATGTCAGGAATTGCGACAAGGGCGGAAATCGCGGCGGGGATGTCGTCAGCAGTGGTGAATCGGCGGGAAGGGGGCGGAGGCGGTGGAGCTGGCCACGTGTCAGCGAGTATTTGGTCGATCGTGGGGCACATGAGGGGGTCCACGGCGAGCATCCAACGGATGAGATTCTTTGCGTCGTCCGAGATCGATGACCAGCAGGGCACCTCCCAATCCGCGATATCGTCGAGCTCTCTAACGTTATTACGGAACAAAGGCCAGGTTCCCGAAAGCATCGCGTACAGTAATACGCCGAGGCTCCAGATATCCCGAGTGCCAGGTGGAAAAAGTTGCTCAAAACAATCGTCTAAACAGATGTCCCAATCCCTAAAAGCCTCAACCACCTCCGGACGCGGCGGCATAGTCCGGGCGAGGTACATCGCCCGCGCTGAAACTGCAATGGCGAGGAGGTGTGAAGCCTTCTGGGGGTGGTCGAGCAAGGGGAGCCATGGCAGTGGCGCCTGCAGCTGTCGAAGCCGCTCCCGTAGCCGGACCACCTCCCAAACCTCCTCCCCAATAGGCACGCCCACCACAGTAAGACCCTCACCCACCCGCTGCATCCCCAATGGCAGTGCCCGCTCCACCTCAATGCCCTCGCGCTCCCAAAACCCACTTGTGCGCCTGCACCTCCAGCCCCACCCTCTCCAACCGCTCCCGCAGCACCCCAAAAGCCTCCAGAATCCTAGCCGCTGGCCCCCAAATATAGGTATCGTCTGCATAGCTGAGGAAAAGCAGGTCCCCGAACTCCCTAGTAACCGGCTCCATCACCTGCTGCTGCGTGAATGCGAAAAGAAAAGGGTCGAGCAGGTCCCCCTGCCTCGATCATCGTGACGACTCGAGGCTCTGTACGAAAGGGCCTGCTCGGAGGTACAGGTCGATAGGTGACCCATAGAAAACACGCAAGAATGGGATCAGCCCCGAGAAAGGCGACTCCCGCAGCCCCTCGAACATCGCATGATGGTGAAACGAATTGAAGGCGTTTGCGACGTCTATCTGTAGCGCACACCAGTCAGGGCGAGTGACAAGCGCTGACCGGAAAGAATGAGTGAGAATCTCCGCCCCGAACCTGGTGCCCGCTCCCAGCTGGTTGCACGTCAGGAAGTATTTTTATAATGGATGGTTTATTCAGGTGGTCGGGCCTGCATTATAGGATTTAATATTGTTGCCTGTTGTATTCAAAGTAGCGAAGATATATGAGACGGTATTAACTGTTTTTGCGTCCGACCTGTACGCTGTTGCGGAGCAGATCACATAAGCTTTAAACGTAATGTCCGCTAGCAAAGCAAAGAGACAAACAGATACGGACAAGGTGACGCGACGCGAAACGCCTAGCACACTGGCGTGCCGAGAAGCACTCCAGTGAGACGAGCGGAGAACATCGAGTCGCGGTTGAGCATTTCACATCACAACAAACAAACTTCCCCTCAACTCCACACCTTCCACCGCCACAGAAATTTCCTCCTGAGAGCCTCTCATGTCGCGCAGTCCGGACGGTCGTTCGGGCTGGGGAGAAAAGGTTGTGCAAGCTCAGTACAAATGCAGCGCCTCACCTCATTTCCATCCATCCATCAAACTTCATTCGAACAAACGCAACCAGCATTCAGCTACTTCT